AAAAAAAAAAAAAAAAAAAAGAGAGAGAGAGATTAGGACAAGACACACAGAGGGAAGACCATTCGAGGACACAGCCGGGAGGAGAGCCACAAGCCTCAGAAGAAACCGAACTTGCTGACATGTGGATCTCAGACTTCTAACCTCCAGAACCACGACACAATGTGCTTCCATTGTTTAAGCCATGCGGCCTGTGGTACTTGGTTATGGCAAAGCTAGCCAGCTAATACAAAGTTTATCGGGAGGAGCAGAGATGAATACTTTCTTGGTTATGGACAATGAGACACTACATAGTCTCTAACAGAACCACTAACTACCCAAAGCTGTAAAAGACGCAAGTCCAGTATGGACTCCAGGAAATGGAGAACTCCCAGGAACTTCATTCCAGCATGCTGGACCTACCCCACCCGAATCCTAGAGGCTCAAAGAACTGGATCAAGCACCACATTCCAGGGAAAGCCTGGACTTTAACGGACTGGAAAATAGCCACTGGCTCATTTTTACTAGGGCCATTAGTACTGATCACTAAATGCAGGGTCCAGAACCCCAAACTCGACCCACCTGTCCAGGACGGCCCCTCTTCATTATCCCAGAGAAGCAATACTGCCGTGGCGAAGGGAATTCATTCATTCCCTCATTTGTTCAACTGATATTGATTCAATTCCTGTTTGAGTCAGAGCCTTGCTAGGTGTGAAGAAATGAAGAACCACAACTTATAGTTGTCAGGCTCCTGGCAGTCTGGTTGGGGAAGGACAAATGACACCAAGGTAATCACGACACAAGGTATTTTTGGGGATCTATGAGCAGAAGCCAGAAGTGAGAGGGACTTCACAGGAAAAACAGCAACTTGAACAGAACATTTTCTCTGTCTAAACGGCCTGCTGTCCTTTTTGCTTTGGGAAGTGCCTATTCAAAAAATGTTTTTCTTTCAGGCAGCAGAACTTACAGGTACAAACACACCAAGTCACAAGCCCTAGCTGCACGTGGAGCAGCTGCCTTCCTGAAAGGAGGGCCAGGAACCCAGGCTGCGGAGGGTGGAAGGGGAGGGATGGGTTTTATGGCAGACAGCAGGAGCCGGCAGGAGTTTTGATGAAGAGGGGCCAGCCTAAAGGGCTCACCAGGAAGAGTCCCAGGCAGCAGCGTGGAGGACTGGAGGGAAAAGGTTACCAGTGACCATGCAGAAAACTTGTCTCAGCATCTGGTAGCTTTTCCAGGCCAGTGTGCACAGAGACAGCTGCAACCTGGGACTGCAGCTGGAAATGCTGAAAGGTCATTTTGCCTGTCAAGCAGACAATAGAGAGAAAGAAGGCCCGGGATGAATGGGCGATTGATTGTAGCCAGCAACTGCTTAGACAGTGTAAATTTTAATGCCAAAAGTGCTTATCCCATATGAATTTTCTTTGTTCAAGAACAAAAGGGGCCATTGGATCCTGAGGGCCATGTGGATACAGAAAGGGCTTTTTTCTAGACAATTGTTCCCCATCTGCCTCCACAGGTTGGATCAGCAGTTACAATAACACTGTTGGTGACGCTGCGTGGGATGGGAGGCTGACGCACACCCACAGAACACAGGCTTGCAGGTCCCTAGGACACACCCACCTCACCGGGACCCTCATTTTCAGGCCTAAAGAGGGGTGCTCTCATCTGAGAAAATGTCCCAGGAAATACAGAGAGCTTCTCTGAGACCACTGTGCTGGGTGTTTTTTAGAGAAAGCGCATCTATTTCTGGGATGTACACCCCAGTGGGTCAAGAGAAGGGGCTTCCACCTGCATCTCTGCTACAGGGGTGATCTGCGATGCCCTGGGCAAGACATTAAACCACACCACCACCTCCAGCCTCAGTTACCTCAAATGTAAAAAATAAGACGAAGCCAGCCTTCCAAACCGGGCTGCATATCAGAATTTGTGGGAAGCTCATTAAGAATTCTGATTCCCAGGCATGGCTCCAAACCCACTGAATCAGAGTATCTGGGGAGTGGGACCCAGGAGTCTGTTTGTAATCAAATACCTGTGAAGGGATCTGTCATCTGTGTATCCCTAAGGTCTCCTGCTTTGTAAGATGCCCCTGGAATTAGAAATTCAAACAATAAAGAACATAGCACCATCTCCAACCCCAGGGCTAGTATTTTGTATTTCTGGAGATTGATTCTTGAGGGAGGCTTAGATTACTGCTGGGCATATCTTAGTGTGTTCTCTTTTCTCCTCCCAATGCCAGCCTAAACCAGAAACAGGTTTGCTTCTCTTTTTTAAGAGGAAATTTGTCTCCAGCTATGGTGGTTAAGAGGGGAACATTATGCAAGAGTCCAGGAATTCTCATCTTCCTTTTTTTTTTTTTTTTTTTTTTTTAATACATTTTTTTTTTTTTTTTTTTTTTTTTTTTTTTCTGAGACAGAGTTTTGATCTTGTTGCCCAGGCTGGAGTGCAATGGCACAATCTTAGCTCACCACAGCCTCCATCTCCCGCGTTCAATTGATTCTACTGCCTCAGCCTCCTGAGCAGCTGGGATTACAGGCATGCGCCACCATGCCTGGCTAATTTTGCATTTTTAGTAGAGATGGGGTTTCTCCATGTTGGTCAGGCTGGTCTCGAACTCCTGACCTCAGGTGATCCACCCACCTCGGCCTTTCGAAGTGCTGGGATTACAGGTGTGAGCCACCGCGCCTGTCCATACTTCCTATTCTTAAAGGTCTCACTGAGCAGGCTACCCACTGAGAATTTTCTTTCTCCTCAGGCCCCAAATTTCTGCTATCTTCTTATTCCACTGAGTAGTCTATGCCCAATTTCCCCGACATATACCAGCTACTTAAAATCTAGGCCAAACTTTGCATATCTGAAAATGCACTACAAGCAGCATATTAAACAAAAGGTCTTTTAGCAACACAAAGCAATCACAGACATTCCAAAATACCTTCTCATGTTGCTATCAATCACATGGTTCCCCTGAGAAGGGGGAATGGTGACCATCAGCATTTATTTATTTATTTATTTATTATTTATTTATTTATTTGAGACAGAGTCTCACTCTGTCGCCCAGGCTGGAGTGCAGTGGTGCAGTGGCACAATCTCAGCTCACTGCAATCTCTCCCTCCCAGATTCAAGCAATTCTCTGACTCAACCTCCGGAGTAGCTGGCATTACAGGTCCCCACCACCATGCCGGACTAACTGACCATCAGCATTTTAACAGCAAATCTATGTCCCCACTCGTTGCATGTTTTGCAAGTCCCCACGTGACAAGGCCAGCCAGTGGGCATTTGGAAACCACTAGACCAGGTGAGGGCTGGAGTTACTTTCAGCTTCAAAACTCTGTTCTCTTTGAAAATGAGCATGCTCTGCACCAGGCGGTGAGATGGACTCTGGAGTCAGCCAAACCAGGATTCCAACCTCAGCTCCCCCAGTAAGTAGCTGGGTGACCTTTGGCAAGTTACTTTCTACTCACTCTCACAGACTGTGTTAGGAGTGCATGTGAAAGTAGCTGTCAATAACTGTTGGTTTTGTCTTAGCATAGAGTAAGTAGCGCCAGATAATTTTAGGGTGTTAGGCAAAGCTCACACGGGCTGCACCTTCTCTAAGCAAATACCTTTCCTCTGGAGCTTCATGAAGTCATTGACTAAGCCTGGAAACCTCACTAAAGATCCCTCCAGAGGGGGAATGGCCACCCTGCTGCCCCTATGGGCAGCCATGAAAGCTCGGTCTGCTCCATTGGGTAGCTACTATATTGGCTGACAGTGAGCTGTGGCAAGGCCAATACCCATTTCAGGATGAGTGCAAGTTTAACTTCACCTGTACACGAGGCTACAGAGCAGTGCTGCTGCTTCGTGGGTAACTCTCAACACTGGAAAATGAGATCACTTTAAGAAAACAAGGAGCAGGCAACCGATCACGTTACCATTTCTGAATGCTGGGATTCTCCTGGCACTCCTGTGGCACATTCCTCTGGATCATGTCTTTCTGGGCACACCACGAACTCTCCAAGAGCAGAGAATGGGGTCTTCAGCATCTTTCACCTGCAGTGCCTCAGAGTGCCAGGCCCACGCCAGACATGACACATTTGACAAATAAGTGAATGCAGTAATTAATGGATGGGTGGACCAGAGGGGTTCAGACTAGGGAAACTGGCTGCCTGAGTGATTATATCACGTAATGTGCTTTCAGAATTCCCCCCCATAAAACAAGTCTTTATTTCAAAAACTAATTCTGAAAAGCAGAAACGATGCTTCCCAGTGCAAAAGTGACTCAAACAAAACTGTCAAGTGCAATGATGCATTAAACTAATCCATTCAATCCCTCATTCATTCAACAAACACTTACTGAATCTTCATTACAGGCCAGGCACTATGCCAAGTGCCAGAGACAAGAAGAGAAAAAAGATGTGGTCCCTGGAGGAACCTGGCATCAATCACTTCCTCTAAGCTCCCTGTGTGGTTCCCATGTGCAGTGGGGGCTGAGAAGGACCGCCTGGGAGCCCCAGAGCCTACAGAGCAACCGAGGGACATACATGTACCAGGTCTGGGGGCCACCTGCTGACTCCCCTGTTCTTCTTCCAGTTTTCTCCTCCTGCCTTCTCTCTTAGCCAGTCAGAATCCCAGACTGAATTATTCATGGCTTTTTGCAACCACTGAATAATATTCTTGTTCCATACAGTTAACTTGCAAAGTCCCCTCCCCCCCAAAAAAAGCTAGAATATTTTAGATTTGGCTTTTTCAAAAACAAAACCAGAAAACGTATTTATTTTCAACTGAAAACTCATCAATCCAGTAACTATTTATTAAATGCATCTTATATTTAGCACAACTTGGAAATCTAAGATAATAAAAACAGTTCCAACCTTCTGACTAAATTTTGGTCCTAAATTGAAATTTTTTTCTATGGTTAATTGGGTTTCAGAGGAAAAAGGATGCTCATCAGTCTCCTGTGTGTTGTTCTTTTTCTAGTGAATAAAGCTTCAGCTTTGTGCCCCAGGGCCTCACACCAACTCTGACATATAGCATCCATAAGCGTAGCTCCTAATGGTTTGACTTCTCCTCATTCCATAAGGAGTCAACAATTCTGGGCAGTCACTAGGGGGACCAATCCCCACTTTGCCCAGGACTGAGAGCTTGGGAGAGTCCTTGGCAAACCAGAGCAGCTGGTCATCAAAGCAGACACCTCTCCTCTCGTTACCAAGTTCTTCTTTCAGACATGAGGATACTTACGTTACGTACAGTGAAACCTGGTCATCAATCATGTTGTGAATTCAAAGACTTCACTGTAATATGATGATTCCACATGCTGCACACCAATGGTAATATTTACCCTTTTTGCTAGTTTGGAAGACATGCATTTTTCTTGGTCTTGTACCTCAATCTCTACCTGATGGAGACAAACTCTGACAGATCACAGGTACCTACAACCCCTTCCCCTATCCGCTAGCTAATATTCTTCCTGGGATAACACAGTAGGGTTGCCCCTAGATTTCCTTGTTAAAGTGGAGTGAGACTCATGCACTAGCTCACATCTACTACTTCTTAACTCCCACCGTCCCAGTGGAAGGACTGGAGTTTGGGTTCCAGGACTGTGCACACATGCTTTAGAGGGACAGGCACATCACTCTCACATTTCAGTATCCTAGGAGAAGCACCAGTAGGACACCTCGTGGAAAGACTCACAGCTGATGGTCTTCATGGGACTACCGTGGACTCAAATCTCAGCTCTACCACCAACGCTGTGATCTTAGGGCAGCTGGCAAATGTCTTTCTGATTCTCAGTACTATCATCTGTGAGGGGGTAAAATCCCACCTGCAAAGTTGGGAATGAAGATCAGAAATTATACCAAAACACAAGACACCCAAGGGCCTGAAATACACAGTGAAACCTTAAGTTGGTGCACATTTGTTAAAACACACACACACACACACACACACACACACACACACTTCTGGACATCAAGTCTCTACTGACACAGACAAAAAGCAATTCTTTCCGTCAGAAACATTTCCTTTACATAGAAACATATAGTTTATTCAGTAAGAAACTAATTTTTTACCATTGGATTCAAATAAATTTTCTCCTCCCAAGCAATCTGACTGAGGGCACACCATTGCAGCATACATTTTATTATTATCATGATTATTTTCCAAAACATTTAATACCACACTTCCTTCTCTCACACAGAATATTACCCAATAGAAGTCCCCGAAAGGAGCCATAACACATTCATAACAAAGATAGGAAGAAAACTTTCAACGTCTGCTTTCCACTATGATGATTCAACTAAAACAAAGCTGAATTTCTCAGCTATGAGACTGAAAAAAATGAAAATCAGCCCATGTGTACATCACGGCCAGCCATGATCATTAACACCTCCATGAAATGAGGGGAGAAAAGACAGAAAGAATTGCTTCTTCTTACCAAACTTCTATATAACTTTAAATTACTTTAAAAAAAAAAATCATTTCTCTAAAAGGCATTCTGCTTCCTTTTCGAAGCGTGAACATTTGGGTGTCTTCTCAAGACCAGCCCTGGGCAAGCAAGTGGTGTCTGTGAAACAGAAACATTCAGAAAACAGCAGCCCCTCTCCAACTCCATGTACAGGAGACTTTCTGATTTTCAACCTTGGCTCAGGTCAGAGAAAAAAGGGAAGGGTTACATTCCTTAAAAAAAAAAAAAAAATTGCAGCCTATCTGAGGGCACGTCTGATTTTCAGCCCATTCCAGAGTGCATGGTTAGTCCGCTTGGCGCGGAGAGTTTTCAGTGCCCTGAAACCATGGTCCCTCTATGGTCCTCTGAGTAGAGTTATTATGTCTGCAAACCAGTAATATCACAGGTCAGAGGGTCTGGGGCTTCCCAGAGAGCCGCACGTCTGAGGATGTTCTGATCTGGGAAACCTGTGACAAGTCTTCTTGGCACTATTCTTCTAATGCTTGGCACCAATGCCTGCGTTCCCCGCAGCCAGGTCACAGTCGCTGGAAATCATGCTGGAAGGGGCGAAAAGCCAGCAGCCCAGAATGGACTGTCTCTGCAGCTTTGGCACCTTCTCCACACACCGCCACACCACTCGAATGTCCTATAAAATATTAAAACCAATAATCTGCACATGGCCAATTTATCTGTACAAAAAGTCTTTATAAAAATACTCCCTGCACTTTGAACAAGAAAAAAATAAAGATGCATGTAAACATCGCCTCTAAGTCACGGGAGGAACCCTTGAGCCTTTTCATCTCATCTTTCGAATGTCCTGCAGTTTTGCTTGTTCTGCTTCTGTTGGAGGTATCAATCTGTTTTTCTCTTATTAACAGAGTTCGGCGTCGGAGGCTGCCTTTGCATATCAGCTTGTGGTTTCATTGGCAGAAATAGTAT